GCATGTTGAAGATCTGGTGTCTTTTTCAATGGGCCGCAGTTCAAATCTGGGTCACAGAAAGAGTAAACCTGTGGAGGAGGAGTTTACCATGAACTCTGTCCTCTCACCCAAGTGTGTCTGTGTGTTTGTGTGTGTGTGTGTGTGTGTGTGTGTGCGCAACTGGTCAGGGGGAGGGGTAACTGGTAGTAGATTAACCAGTTTGGGATCACTGGGAGGAGAAGGGTTAAGGAATGGACATACCTCTTTACACACACCTCTCTTTCCTCTCTTCTTTCTTTCAACTTTTCACCTTCCTCCCCCTCTATGAAATTCAAATTTTTTAATTCAAATTCATCCCTTCCTTCGTATCCCTCTCCTTGTCTCTATCTCTCTCTCCTTCCCTCTATCTCCCTTTCCTTCTCTCTCTCTCCTTCCCTCTACCTCTCTCTCCTTCCCTCTATTTCTCTCTCCTCTCACACATGTGCTCCATTAAAGCTGACCCACAGAGCTCAGAGAAGGTGTGTAACTGTACTCCACCCAGGCAGTAAGGAGAGCCACTGCCACAGAGGCACAGGGTGGGCTCTGGTTACCCGACGCTCAAGGTGTGTGGGGGGAGGGGCGTGCCTATGCATTGTTACTGGTTACCTTGGCTTTGTCACTCCACCTCTCTCATCGAGGAGAGGAGCAGAGAAGAATAAAGCCAGAGAAGGACAAGATTACATCCTGTATGTACACCACATCAGAGAGAGAGAGAGAGAGGGAGACAGAGGGTTAATGTTTGTTCCATGGCTTTGCTGTAGCGTAGAGATGGAGGGTTAATGTTTGTTCCGTAGAGATTTTTTTACATTTACAGTCATTTAGCAGACGGTCTTATGTTTGGGTGTTTAGGAGTTGGAGATGTAAAAGGAGGTTGTGCCGCCCTAGGATGTGCCTATTTAAGGGACGGCCTGATCAAATGTGCTCCTGGTCAAGAATGAAACTGGAACGTGAATAAAGGGGGAGGAGTGAAAGAAGAGGAAGAGAAGGAGAAAAAGAACGGAAGAGAGGGAGAGGCAGAAAGTGACAGAGCAGTGAGAAGAGAGGGAGAGGCAGAAAGTGACAGAGCAGTGAGCAGAGAGGGAGAGGCAGAGGCAGAAAGTGACAGAGCAGTGAGCAGAGAGGGAGAGGCAGAAAGTGACAGAGCAGTGAGCAGAGAGGGAGAGGCAGAAAGTGACAGAGCAGTGAGCAGAGAGGGAGAGGCAGAAAGTGACAGAGCAGTGAGAAGAGAGGGAGAGGCAGAAAGTGACAGAGCAGTGAGCAGAGAGGGAGAGGCAGAAAGTGACAGAGCAGTGAGCAGAGAGAGAGAGAGGCAGAAGTGACAGAGCAGTGAGAATGAGAGAGAGAGAGGCAGGAAAAGTGACAGAGCAGTGAGAAGAGAGGGAGAGGCAGAAAGTGACAGAGCAGTGAGAAGAGAGGGAGAGGCAGAAAGTGACAGAGCAGTGAGAAGAGAGTGGAGAGGCAGGGAAAGTGACAGAGCAGTGAGAAGAGAGTGAGAGGCAGAAAGTGACAGAGCAGTGAGCAGAGAGGGAGAGGCAGAAAGTGACAGAGCAGTGAGCAGAGAGGGAGAGGCAGAAAGTGACAGAGCAGTGAGAAGAGAGGGAGAGGCAGAAAGTGACAGAGCAGTGAGAAGAGAGTGAGAGGCAGAAAGTGACAGAGCAGTGAGCAGAGAGGGAGAGGCAGAAAGTGACAGAGCAGTGAGAAGAGAGAGAGAGGCAGAAAGTGACAGAGCAGTGAGAAGAGAGGGAGAGACAGAAAGTGACAGAGCAGTGAGAAGAGAGGGAGAGGCAGAAAGTGACAGAGCAGTGAGAAGAGAGGGAGAGGCAGAAAGTGACAGAGCAGTGAGAAGGAGGGGAGGCAGAAAGGAAGAGCAGTGAGAAGGGGCAGAAAGTGACAGAGCAGTGAGCAGAGAGGGAGAGGCAGAAAGTGACAGAGCAGTGAGCAGAGAGGGAGAGGCAGAAAGTGACAGAGCAGTGAGAAGAGAGGGAGAGAGATGAAGAGGTGAATGAGAAGGTAAGGACCATAAAGCTGGGTGTATCTGGCTGACTGGCTGACTGACTGGCTGACTGGTTGGGTGACTGACTATTTGACGGGCTGACTGGCTGACTGACTAACTGGCTGACTGGTTGGCTGACGGACTGACTGGTTTCGTGACTGACTGGCTGACTGACTGGCTGACGGGCTGACTGGTTGGGTGTCGGGCTGACTGGCTGACTGACTAACTGGCTGACTGGTTGGGTGACTGGTCACTAAGGCCAGGGTTGGAGACTGGTCATGAGATCAGTGGCTCAGTAATCTCATAGACAGGAACTGGGAGAGACAGAAAGAACAGGGATTTAGAGAAACAGAGAAAGAGAGAGAGAGACTGGGGGCAGGCAGACAGGCAAATAGGCAGACAGTGAGTGAAGCATAGAGGAAGAGTGTCATTGAGTGAGACAGTGGGAGGCAGACATTAAAACAGTGAGAGAAAGAAGAGGGAAAAGATACATAGAGGAAGAGAGGGAGAGGTAGTCTGAAAGAGGGACGTTGTGAGAGGAGAGGGGGAGAGGTAGTCTGAAAGAGGGACGTTGTGAGAGGAGAGGGGGAGAGGTAGTCTGAAAGAGGGACGTTGTGAGAGGAGAGGGGGAGAGGTAGTCTGAAAGAGGGACGTTGTGAGAGGAGAGAGGGAGAGGTAGTCTGAAAGAGGGACGTTGTGAGAGGAGAGGGGGAGAGGTAGTCTGAAAGAGGGACGTTGTGAGAGGAGAGGGGGAGAGGTAGTCTGAAAGAGGGACGTTGTGAGAGGAGAGGGGGAGGAGGTAGTCTGAAAGAGGGACGTTGCGAGAGGAGAGGGGGAGGTAGTCTGAAAGAGGGATGTTGTGAGAGGAGAAGGGGAGAGGGTGACGTCACTAGTTGGATTGCAGTGTTGAGTCCTGCTAACTACTATAATCCTGATTAGGAAACCGAAGGGAAAAACCCAGGAGCCCTGAATGACAGAACGAGAAAGAAGGAGGAGAGACGAGAGACAGAATAAGAAGAGGAGTAATTTTAATCTGGGAATTAGGAGCGTAGGAATCACAGAAACTACAGAAAAGGAACCACATAACCACAGTAAGTAGATTATAAATATATGTAAACATCTTTTTTTAAACGACAGAGAAGCAGGAATGTGTAGTCCCTGCATTACATAGCTACCTTCTTCATTGATTTATTCTCATATTTCATTGCCTCATTCTGCCCACCCCTCTTACCTCACCTCTCGCCATACTTGTCATTCCCCCATACCCTCCCCTCCCCTCCCCACTCTCCCCCTCTCTCCCACTGCCACACATTCTTCTCCCCCTCCTCCCCCTCCCCCTCTCCCCCTCCTCCACTCTCCCTCTCCTCCACTCTCCCCCTCCTCCACTCTCCCCCTCCTCCACTCTCCCCCTCCCCAGGTCAGGATGCCCACTAATGGGACAAACCGTCCGCTGAAGCTGCAGTTTGGTCTGATCAATCATGAGAGTTGCTACCTCACCGCAGAGGCCTTTGGCTTCAAGGTGAGATACCTCATCTGACACAGCTTAGTCTTACTGTGTTCATGTCTAGACTGGTGCCAGTCTGGTCTGGCTTCAGCCAACTCCTCTGTCGTTTTCATGCCAGAGTAGAGTAGATGCCAAATAAGTTTATCTAAAGCAGGTAAGAGTTTGAAAGGAGGAAGACCGGAGAAGAGGGAAGGACTGAGCGAGACAAGTGGAGCTCTTCCCAGTGCTCTGTTTGACAGTGATCTCTCCTCCATCAGGTGAATGCGTCGGCCCCCAGTCTGAAGAGGAAGCAAGTGTGGACGTTAGAGCAGGACTCCCAGGACCCCCAGGTGGTCTACTTCCGCAGCCACCTGGGCCGCTACCTGGCCTCCGACAAGGATGGCAAGGTCACCTGCGAGGCCGAGGGCCAGAACACAGACTGCCGCTTCCTGATCGCTGCCCAATCAGACGGCCGCTGGGCACTGCAGTCGGAACCCTATCTGAGGTTCTTCGGAGGTTCCCGGGACTACCTGTCCTGCTTCACCCAGGGGATCACAGAGGCGGAGCTGTGGGCAGTACACCTGGCGCTCCACCCGCAGGCCAACCTGCTCAGTGTGGCCCGCAAGCGCTACGCCCACCTGTCTCCTGACGACAGCGAGATCGCCGTGGACCGGAACATTCCGTGGGGCGTGGCAGCGCTCCTGACGCTTGTCTACCTGGATGGGAAGTACCGGCTCAAGACCTGCGACAGCCGTTACCTAGGCAATGACGGGAAGCTGTCAGCGGAGAGCGGGAGGGACACAGGGTACACGCTGGAGCTGAAGTGTGGGAAGCTGGCGTTTAAGGACTGTGAGGGGAAGTACCTGAGTCCAATGGGCCCCACGGGGACACTGAGGTCTGGCAGGTGCAGCAAGCCGGGGAAGGACGAGCTGTTTGACCTGGAGGAGAGCCACCCTCAGGTGGTGCTGATGGCAGCCAACAGTAAATATGTGTCTATACGGCAAGGTAAAACATACACAGCATACACAGTAGAGGAAACACGGTATGAACATATGCATCAAACACACATATATATACAATACACACCTCTTACATTCTCTTTCTGTTTTTAGTTTTTCACTCCCTCTCCTCTCTAAACTACTCTAACTACTACTACTACTACTACTCCTGCTGCTCCTGCTATAGTTTGTTAACAAGAAATCTGTTGAGTGGCTCAAATACATTTACTACTACATTTACATTTTAGTCATTTAGCAGACGCTCTTATCCAGAGCGACTTACAGTTAGTGAGTGCATACATGTTTCATACTGGCCCCCCTTGGGAAACGAACCCACAACCCTGGCGTTGCAATCGCCATGCTCTACCAACTGAGCTACAGGGGACTAGTACTACTACTGCTACTACTGCTACTACTGCTACTACTACTCCTGCTACTACTACTACTACTACTGCTCCTACTACTACTACTACTACTCCTCCTCCTACTCCTCCTCCTCCTCCTCCTCCTACTACTACTCCTACTGCTCCTGCTACTACTACTGCTAATATTACTACTACTACTACTACTACCGCTCCTGCTCCTACTACTACTACTGCTACTACTCCTGCTACTACTACTACTGCTACTACTACTACCGCTCCTGCTACTACTACTACTACTGCTCCTGCTACTGCTACTACTACTACTACTGCTAATATTACTACTACTAGTACTACTACCGCCACCTAATTCTCGTACCACTTGATACCTACTGTGGCAACTGAGCTTTCAGATGTACAGGAAATACATGAGTGGACGTATTTAATATGCATGGACCCATACCACTACCACCCGATAGGGATGATTGACAGCCGATAGGGACTGTTCCATAATTATGGGTAATGAAGGAAGTTAGAGGTAGTTTTGTGAGCCAATGCTAACTAGCAGTTACCATAGACTTCCAGTAATTGCGCAAATGCTAGTTAGCAACTTCCTTCAAACTGCACGCAGAGACTTAAAAATAGTATACACAAGTTCATCTGACTCTGGGGAAGTACAGTTGAAGTCGGAAGTTTACATACATTTAGGTTGGAGTCATTAAAACTAGTTTTTCAACCACTCAACAGATTTCTTGTTAACAAACTATAGTTTTGGCAAGTCGGTTAGGACATCTACTTTGTGCATGACACAAGTAATTTTTCCAACAATTGTTTACAGACAGATTATTTCACTTATAATTCACTGTATCACAATTCCAGTGGGTCAGAAGTTTACATACACTAAGTTGACTGTGCCTTTAAACAGCTTGGAAAATTCCAGATAATGATACATGGCTTTAGAAGCTTCTGATAGGCTAATTGACATCATTTGAGTCAATTGGAGGTGTACCTGTGGATGTATTTCAAGGCCTACCTTCAAACTCAGTGCCTCTTTGCTTGACATCATTGGAAATCAGCCAAGACCTCAGAAAATAAATTGTAGACCTCCACAAGTCTGGTTCATCGTTGGGAGCAATTTCCAAACGCCTGAAGGTACCACGTTCATCTGTACAAACAATAGTACGCAAGTATAAACACCATGGGACCACGCAGCTGTCATACCGCTCAGGAAGGAGACAAGCTCTGTCTCCTAGAGATGAATGTACTTGGTGCGAAAAGTGCAAATGAATCCCAGAACAACAGCAAAGGACCTTGTAAAGATGCTGGAGGAAACAGGTACAAAAGTATCTATATCCACAGTAAAACGAGTCCTATATCGACATAACCTGAAAGGCCGCTCAGCAAGGAAGAAGCCACTGCTCCAAAACCGCCATAAAAAAGCCAGACTACGGTTTGCAACTGCACATGGGGATAAAGATCGTACTTTTTGGAGAAATGTCCTCTGGTCTGATGAAACAAAAATAGAACTGTTTGGCCATAATGACCATCGTTATGTTTGGAGGAAAAAGGGGGCGGCTTGCAAGCCGAAGAACACCATCCCAACCGTGAAGCACGGGGGTGGCAGCATCATGCTGTGGGGGTGCTTTGCTGCACGAGGGACTGGTGCACTTCACAAAATAGATGGCATCATGAGGAAAGAAAATTATGTGGATATATTGAAGCAACATCTCAAGACATCAGTCAGGAAGTTAAAGCTTGGTCGCAAATGGGTCTTCCAAATGGACAATGACCCCAAGCATACTTCCAAAGTTGTGGCAAAATGGCTTAAGGACAACAAAGTCAAGGTATTGGAGTTGCCATCACAAAGCCCTGACCTCAATCCTATAGAACATTTGTGGGCAGAACTGAAAAAGCGTGTGCGAGCAAGGAGGCCTACAAACCTGACTCAGTTACACCAGCTCTGTCAGGAGGAATGGGCCAAAATTCACCCAACTTATTGTGGGAAGCTTGTGGAAGGCTACCTGAAACGTTTGACCCAAGTTAAACAATTTAAAGGCAATGCTACCAAATACTAATTGAGTATATGTAAACTTCTGACCCACTGGGAATGTGATGAAAGAAATAAAAGCTGAAATAAATCATTATCTCTACTGTTATTTTGACATTTCACATTCTTAAAATAAAGTGGTGATCCTAACTGACCTAAGACAGGGAATTTTTACTAGGATTAAATGTCAGGAATTGTGAAAAACTGAGTTTAAATGTATTTGGCTAAGGTGTATGTAAACTTCCGACTTCAACTGTATTGGCCCTCCTGTAGCTCAGTTGGTAGAGCATGGCGCTTGCAATGCAAGGGTTGTGGGTCCGTTTCCCACGGGGGGCCAGTATGAAAAATGTATGCACTCACTAATTGTAAGTCGCTCTGGATAAGAGCGTCTGCGAAATGACTAAAATGTCAATTGGATCACTAGATATCCTGAAGTATCCCTTTAACTTGAGTGCTTTTGAAACCCACTGCAGCATAGTGCTATTTTTGTACATGCCTCTTTCCCATTGCCCGAGCCACAAACAACTGTATTATCATAGACCCGGTAACTGATTCCAGAATCTACCGTGTTATTAGAATCTCATCTCTTAAAATTGAGATTGAATCTAGAGTGAATCTATTCCTAGAATCTAGAGCAATGGTATTATTCAAAGTTGGGGTCGGGAGAGCAGAGAGGAGGAGGAGAGAGAGCAGAGAGGAGGAGAGAGAGCAGAGAGGAGGAGAGAGAGCAGAGAGGAGAAGAGAGAGAGCAGAGAGGAGAAGAGAGAGAGCAGAGAGGGGGAGAGAGAGAACAGAGAGGGGGAGAGAGAGCAGTGAGGAGGAGAGAGAGCAGAGAGGAGGAGGAGAGAGAGCAGAGAGGAGGAGAGAGAGCAGAGAGGAGGAGAGAGAGCAGAGAGGAGAAGAGAGAGAGCAGCGAGGAGAAGAGAGAGAGCAGAGAGGGGGAGAGAGAGCAGTGAGGAGGAGAGAGAGCAGAGAGGAGGAGAGAGAGCAGAGGAAGAGAGAGCAGAGAGGAGAGAGAGAGCAGAGTGGAGGAGAGAGAGAGAGCAGAGAGGAGAGAGAGAACAGAGAGGAGGAGAGAGAACAGTGAGGAGGAGGAGGAGAGAGAGAGAACAGTGAGGAGGAGAGAGAGCAGAGAGGAGAGAGAGGGAGAAAAGCAGAGAGAGAGCAGAGAGGAGGTGAGAGAGAGCAGAGAGGAGGAGGGAGAGCAGAGAGGAGGAGGGAGAGCAGAGAGGAGGCAAAGAGAGCAGAGAGGAGGAGAGAGAACAGAGAGGAGCGAGAGCAGAGAGGAGGAGGAGGTGGAGGAGAGAGAACAGAGAGTAGGAGAGAGAGAGAACAAAGAGGAGAGAGAGAGCAGAGAGGAGGAGAGCAGACAGGAGGAGCGAGAGAGCAGAGGAGAGAGAGAGCAGAGAGGAGGAGAGAGAGCAGAGGAGGAGCGAGAGAGCAGAGAGGAGGAGCGAGAGAGCATAGAGGAGGAGAGAGAGAGGAGGAGAGAGAGAGAGCAGAGAGGAGGAGAGCAGAGAGGAGAGAGAGAACAGAGAGGAGGACAGAGTGTGAGGACTATACCTGAGGACAATATATGTCAGACAGGTGTGCTGCACACCTTCTCTATGTGTGAGGACTCTATACCTGAGGACAATAGATGTCAGACAGGTGTGCTGCACACCTTCTCTATGTGTACTCTCACATAAATCTACAGCACTGCCAGTTCTCCCTGAAGAGCAGACGTGTCACCATCAGACTAGCTTACAAACACACAAAACTAGTGAAAACTTGGCTCCGAAACGGACTTTATATTTCTCTCTCTCTCGTCAGCCCAACTCCTCTCTTTCACTCTCTTTCTCCCTCTGTTTCTCTCTCCTGTCTTCGCTCTCTCGTTCTGTTAACGTGGGGTGTGTGATCTGCTATCATATCTGTCGTCACCTCTCTGTCCTCCCTGGGATACACTGATCTGCTCTGGCCGGAAGGTGAAAAAGAGACGAACGCTCAAATACACACACACACACACACACACACACACACACACACACACACACACACACACACACACACACACACACACACACACACACACACACACACACACACACACACACACACACACACACACACACACACACACACACACACAATCCTGGAACAGTCTGATAGACAGTTAAAGGAGGCAGTGAAATAAAGAAAGATAAAGAAAATGAGAATAGCAGACATGGAGGAGAGCAAGTGAGAAGGATACAGGGGGGAGAGAGAGGGATGGAGAGAGGAAGAGGGGGATAGTGGGCATCACTTTACCATTAATAATGGGTGGCAGAGAAACTCTCTGATGGATTAGTCGTGCCTGATCCAGTTTAGGGTTGGCAGGCAGGTGGGCGGGCGGGTTTCCAGGTAGGCCAACACCAGGAAGTGGAGATGGGTCTGGGGTCTGTTCCAAACCTTACACTAGGCTAGTGGAGATGGGTCTGGGGTCTGTTCCAAACCTTACACTAGGCTAGCGTAGCACTTGAGGATGTGTGAAATGCACTCCTCAGCCTGAAGCACTCCTTCACGTGACGCCGACTGGTAAGACGCTTCAGGAGGGCGGTCACGTGTGCTAGCAAGGCAGAGGTCCTGGGGTTGCGCCAGGTATGGGCCGAATCGGGAGGAAGTGGTACTCGCTAAGCAAGCAGCATGGCGTTCTTTATATCAGCACACTACCCTAAATCATCAAGCCCTTGACTAAGTGAATCAGGACAGCTAGTTCAGGATTACAACAAAATTGCTAAACGTCTGGGCATCCCCTAGTAGTCTAAATCCACTGCCCTATGCTACGTAGCAGTCAGTGTGCAACACTATGGCACCATCTAAATGGCAGCATCTGATATGCTGGACCAACTGTGGTGTCAGCAACGCCTTTCAAGATATCAGATAGTTATATCATCTTCTATTGATACCGGTCTTCTTCCTCTCTCCTCTTGGCTCTCTAGATGGGCTGTAGTCTGATCACAGCTGAGCTCAGTAAACTGTTATGGTGATGGTGTGGTGTAAAATGGACAATAAAGCGTGACGCACTGCTGAGATGAGAATCTGATCAAACAAACCAGCCCTGGTGATAAAATAGAGAATAGTTTTTTTTAGACTCCTATACTGTGATAGGCTTATAGTTGCTTTAGAAAGCTGAACGTAACTAAGGAGGACCCCATTGTAGTAGATTGGTTGGTCAAGTGAAGGGGCTGAATCTGCCTACGTGTGTTCATACTGGTGTCCGTTCGGTGGTTGGAGTGGAAGCGTCTGCCTCTCCCACTGAGCATGGTCCAAACAATCTGCTCTCTTTTCTTATTCTTTCATTTGGGGATTGGATGGATTGGCAGATCGGCACTCCAAAGCTGCTTAGAGCAGGGCCCCACTGGGAGAGAGAGGGGGATAGATAGAGAGGGAGGGGGAGAAGGAGTGGACGGGGCCTAGAGGGGTCATTAAAGGATTAACAAAATGATTTAGGGATATTCTGGGATACGTCTAATGTTGGCATTAGACCTCCACAGTCTGTTTCACCAGGGCTTTGCTGTGGTGTTGTGCTATTGTTTGTTTCCTAATACAAACCAAAACATGGATACCACGAAAAAAGATCACATTTTGTGTTGAACATTAATTAATTCATGGGTTAATAGGTTACAGCATGGCCAAATCAAACTTCCTATTTTGGTTACAAAGGGCTAGTGATGTGTGTGTCTTTGTCTATCAAACCTTGAGACTAATGCTCCATATAAAGTGGGGGAAAAAAGTATTTAGTCAGCCACCAATTGTGCAAGTTCTCCCACTTAAAAAGATGAGAGAGGCCTGTAATTTTCATCATAGGTACACATCAACTATGACAGACAAAATTAGGAAAAAAAATCCAGAAAATCACATTGTGGGATTTTTAATGAATTTATTTGCAAATTATGGTGGAAAATAAGTATTTGGTCAATAACAAAAGTTTCTCAATACTTTGTTATATACCCTTTGTTGGCAATGACACAGGTCAAACGTTTTCTGTAAGTCTTCACAAGGTTTTCACACACTGTTGCTGGTATTTTGGCCCATTCCTCCATGCAGATCTCCTCTAGAGCAGTGATGTTTTGGGGCTGTCGCTGGGCAACACGGACTTTCAACTCCCTCCAAAGATTTTCTATGGGGTTGAGATCTGGAGACTGGCTAGGCCACTCCAGGACCTTGAAATGCTTCTTACGAAGCCACTCCTTCGTTGCCCGGGCGGTGTGTTTGGGATCATTGTCATGCTGAAAGACCCAGCCATGTTTCATCTTCAATGCCCTTGCTGATGGAAGGAGGTTTTCACTCAAAATCTCACGATACATGGCCCCATTCATTCTTTCCTTTATACGGATCAGTCGTCCTGGTCCCTTTGCAGAAAAACAGCCCCAAAGCATGATGTTTCCACCCCCATGCTTCACAGTAGGTATGGTGTTCTTTGGATGCAACTCAGCATTCTTTGTCCTCCAAACACAACGAGTTGAGTTTTTACCAAAAAGTTATATTTTTGGTTTCATCTGACCATATGACATTCTCCCAATCCTAGATTTCTGGCTCCCAGGTGTCTTTTATACAGGTAACGAGCTGAGATTAGGAGCACACTCTTAAAGGGAGTGCTCCTAATCTCAGCTTGTTACCTGTATAAAAGACACCTGTCCACAGAAGCAATCAATCAATCAGATTACAAACTCTCCACCATGGCCAAGACCAAAGAGCTCTCCAAGGATGTCAGGGACAAGATTGTAGACCTACACAAGGCTGGAATGGGCAACAAGACCATCGCCAAGCAGCTTGGTGAGAAGGTGACAACAGTTGGTGCGATTATTCGCAAATGGAAGAAACACAAAATAACTGTCAAACTCCCTCGGCCTGGGGCTCCATGCAAGATCTCACCTTGTGGAGTTGCAATGATCATGCGAACGGTGCGGAATCAGCCCAGAACTACACGGGATGATCTTGTCAATGATCTCAAGGCAGCTGGGACCATAGTCACCAAGAAAACAATTGGTAACACACTACGCCGTGAAGGACTGAAATCCTGCAGCGCCCGCAAGGTCCCCCTGCTCAAGAAAGCACATATACATGCCCGTCTGAAGTTTGCCAATGAACATCTGAATGATTCAGAGGAGCTGGGTGAAAGTGTTGTGGTCAGATGAGACCAAAATCGAGCACTTTGGCATCAACTCAACTCGCCGTGTTTGGAGGAGGAGGAATGCTGCCTATGACCCCAAACATTATGCTTTAGGGGTGTTTTTCTGCTAAGGGGACAGGACAACTTCACCGCATCAAAAGGGACGATGGACGGGGCCATGTACCGTCAAATCTTGGGTGAGAACCTCCTTCCCTCAGCCAGGGCATTGAAAATGGGTCGTGGATGGGTATTCCAGCATGACAATGACCCAAAACACATGGACAAGGCAACAAAGGAGTGGCTCAAGAAGAAGCACATTAAGGTCCTGGAGTGGCCTAGCTAGTCTCCAGACCTTAATCCCGTAGAAAATCTGTGGAGGGAGCTGAAGGTTCGAGTTGCCAGACGTCAGCCTCGAAACCTTAATGACTTGAAGAAGATCTGCAAAGAGGCCTGGGACAAAATCCCTCCTGAGATGTGTGCAAACCTGGTGGCCAACTACAAGAAACTTCTGACCTTTGTGATTGCCAACAAGGGTTTTGCCACCAAGTACTAAGTCATGTTTTGCAGAGGGGTCAAATACTTATTTCCCTCATTAAAATGCAAATCAATTTCTAACATTTTTGACATGCGTTTTTCTGGATTTTGTTGTTGTTATTCTGTCTCTCACTGTTCAAATAAACCTACCATTAAAATAATAGACTGATCATTTCTTTGTCAGTGGGCAAACGTACAAAATCAGCAGGGGATCAAATACTTTTTTCCCTCACTGTAGCTCATCCTAATATACCTACTACTGGACATACCATTTTATTTTCCAGATTCTATACTGTCTATACACATCATGTATTTATATTCTGGATTCTGACACATTCTCACTCTAATATATCTACTCTGGATTGTTATTTCTTGATTCCTTGTTTGATTTTATTTGTATTGTATTTGCTAGACATTCTACTGCACTGTTGGAGCTAGTAACATAAGCATTTTTCTGCACTTGCTATAACACCTGCAAATCTGAGTACATGACCAATAAACTTTGATTTGATTGGATGTGCCTGTTTCAAGCCACATGTTTTTATAGGTCAGTGTGTAAAGGCCTTATAAAAAACATAAGCAGTGCTATATGGTAAAGCATGGTTTTAGGTAACTAAAAGAGAATAAAAAAGGAATGTACAGTATACTAGTGAATGGCTCTCAAGCTCTACTGAACAAAAATATAAACGCAACATGTAAAGTGTTGGTCCCATGTTTCATGAGCTGAAATAAAAGATCCCAGAAATGTTCCATATGCACAAAAAGCTTATTTCTCTAAAATGTTGTGCCAATTTGTTTACATCCCTATAAGTGAGCATTTCTCCTTTGCCAAAATAATCCAGCCACCTGACAGTTATGGAATATCAAGAAGCTGATTAAACAGCATGATCATTACAAAGGTGCACCTTATGCTGGGGACAATAAAAGGCCACTCTAAAATGTGCAATTCTGTCACACACACAATGCCACAGATTTCTCAAATTTTGAGGGAGCGTGCAATTGGCATGCTGACTGCAGGAATTTTCACCAGAGCTGTTGCCAGAAAATGGAATGTTCATTTCTGTACACAATTCCTGGAAGCTGAAAATGTCCCAGTTCTTCCATGGCCTGCATACTCACCAGATATGTCACCCATTGAGCATGTTTGGGATGCTCTGGATCAACGTGTACGACAGCGTGTTCCAGTTCCCGCCAATATCCAGCAACTTAGCACAGCCATTTAAGAGGAGTGGGACAACATTCCACAATCAACAGCCTGATCAACTCTATGCAAAGGAGATGTGTCGTGCTGCATGAGGCAAATGGTGGTCACACCAGATACTGACTGGTTTTCAGATCCACGCCCATACCTTTAAAAAAAAAAGGTATATGTTACCAACAGATGCATATCTGTATTCCCAGTCATGTGAAATACATAGATTAGGGCCTAATGAATTTATTTCCCTATATGAACTGTAACTCACTAAAATCTTTGAAATTGTTGCATGTTGCGGTTATATTTTTGTTCAGTATGTAATTAATGTTAATGCTATTAGCATTCTGCATAATGGACAGAGGTCTTTGACAGTATATTGGACCATCCACATGTGAGTGTGTAAGAGTGTGTGCCCATGGATTTCAGACAGCCTGTATTGGCGGCTATGGGTATCAATAAAACGTTCAGTTGGATTGATTTCGGACTGAACATATCATAAAATGAACTTAACTGATGTCACACCTCTGGCCCCTCCCAGGAGTGAGCATCTTGGCCAATCAGGAGGACGAGACAGACCTGGAGACGTTCCAGATGGAGATAGACAAGGAGAGCAGGAAGTGTCTGTTCCGGACTAACGAGGGGAAATACTGGGCCCTGGAGGCCCATGGAGGCATCCAGACTACGGCCACAGAGAGGTAACCTTAACCCCACCTCCAGCCACAACCCTAACCCTAACCCCACCTCCAGCCACAACCCTAACCCCACCTCCAGCCACAACCCTAACCCTAACCCCACCTCCAGCCACAACCCTAACCCTAACCCCACCTCCAGCCACAACCCTAACCCCACCTCCAGCCACAACCCTAACCCTAACCCCACCTCCAGCCACAACCCTAACCCTAACCCCACCTCCAGCCACAACCCTAACCCTAACCCCACCTCCAGCCACAACCCTAACCCCACCTCCAGCCACAAGCCTAACCCTAACCCCACCTCCAGCCACAACCCTAACCCCACCTCCAGCCACAACCCTAACCCTAACCCCACCTCCAGCCACAACCCTAACCCCACCTCCAGCCACAACCACAACCCTAGCTCCAGCTGCAACCCTAACCCTAGCCTTAATCTCTGAAACCCAGAACTAAAATAATTGTGTCAGATGCTGGATAAGGTTCAGGGGAAGATGTACTCTCAGCCAAGCACGGGCCAAATGTCCCCTCCCATTCCGAAATGAGAAAGATACAAACACCAGTGAAATTGTGATTTGTCCAAATGATCAGTGAAGAAGAAAATAAAATCCAGCAGACTGGAAACAAAATTCCTTGTTAGTCGTCAAATCCTGCAGTCTGTTGACAGATGCTACGATACCATCTTATGCTATGTGAGTCTGTCAACAGTCTGTCCACTAGATTACCCTAGCTTTAACCCTAACCCCATCTCCAGCCACAACCCCACCTCCACCTCAACCCTAACCCCACCTCCACCTCAACCCTAACCCCACCTCCAGCCACAATCCTAACCCCATCTCTAGCCACAACCCTAACCCCACCTCCAGCCACAACCCTAACCCCATCTCTAGCCACAACCATAAACATTTATTCTCCAGGTCTGCCAACACCATGTTTGCAGTGGAGTGGATGGGCCGCAGGGTGGCACTACAAGCCAGTAACGGGAAATACATCTGCACCAAGAAAAACGGCCAACTGGCAGCCGTCAGCGACTCCGTAGGTCAGTGTGTGTGTGTTTGTGTGAAATTGTTTGAGTGGGTTCCATGCTTCTTATACTCTTTAAACCTAAGATCCCTTTCCTTCAAATCAAATCAATTTTTATTTGTCACATATGCGTGTTTAGCAGATGTTATAGCAGGTGTAGCGAAATGCTTATGCTTCTAGCTCCGACAGTGCAGTAATATCTAACAATTTCACAACATATACCTAAAACACACAAGACTAGTAAGGAATGGGATTTAAGCATATATACATATATGGACAAGCAATGACAGAGCGGCATGGACTAAGATACAGTAGAATATTATAGAATAGAATGCAGTATATACATATGAGATGAGTAGTGCAAGATGTATAAACATTATTAAAGTGACTAGTGTTCCATTTCTTAAAGTGGCCAGTGATTTCAATAGGCAGCAGCAGCATCTAATTTGCTAGTGATGGCTATTTAACAGTCTGATGGCCTTGAGATAGAAGCTGTTTTTAATTATCTCGGTCCCAGCTTTGATGCACCTGTACTGACCTCGCCTTCTGGATGATAGCGGGGTGAACAGGCATGTCCTTGATGATCTTTTTGTCCTTCCTGTGACATCGGGTGATGTAGATGTCTTGGAGGGTGGGTAGTTTGCCCCTGGTAATGCGTTCGGCAGACCGCACCACCCTCTGGAGAGCCCTGCGGTTGCGGGCGGTGCAGTTGCCGTACCAGGCGGTGATACAGCCCGACAGGATGCTCTCTGTTGTGCAACTGTAAAAGTTTGTGAGGGTTTTAGGTGCTAAGCCAAATTTCTTCAGCCTCCTGAGATTGAAGAGGCTCTGTTGCGCCTTCTTCACCACACTGTCTGCGTGGGTGGACCATTTCAGTTTGTCAGTGATGTGTACGCCAAGGAACTTGAAGCTTTCCACCTTCTCCACTGCGGTCCCGTCGATGTGGATAGGGGGGTGCACCCTCTGCTGTTTCCTGAAGTCCACGATCATCTCCTTTGTTTTGTTAATGTTGAGTGAGAGGTTATTTTCCTGGCACCACACTCCCAGAGTCCTCACCTCCTCCCTGTAGGCGGTCTCGCCATTGTTGGTAATCAAGCCTACTACTGTTGTGTCGTCTGCAAACTTGATGATTGAGTTGGAGGCGTGCTTGGCCTCGCAGTCATGGGTGAACAGGGAGTACAGGAGGGGGCTGAGCACGCACCCTTGTGGGGCCCCAGTGTTGAGGATCAGCAAAGTGGAGATGTTGTTTCCTACCTTCACCACCTGGGGGCAGCCCGTCAGGAAGTCCAGGACCCAGTTGCACAGGGCGGGGTTCAGACCCAGGGCCTCGAGCTTAATGATGAGCTTGGAGGGTACTATGGTATTGAATGCTGAGCTATAGTCAATGAACAGCATTCTTACATAGGTATTCCTCTTGTCCAGATGGGATAGGGCAGTGTGCAGTGTGATGGCGATTGCATCGTCTGTGGATCTATTGGGGCGGTAAGCAAATTGGAGTGGGTCTAGGGTGACAGGTGAGGTAGAGGTGATATGATCCTTGACTAGTCTCTCAAAGCATTTCATGATGACAGAGGTGAGTGCTACAGGGCGATAGTCATTTAGTTCAGTTACCTTTGCTTTCTTGGGTACAGGAACAATGGTGGCCATCTTGAAGCATGTGGGAACAGCAGACTGGGAAAGGGAGAGATTGAATATGTCCGTAAACACACCAGCCAGCTGGTCTGCGCATGTTCTGAGGACGCGGCTAGGGATGCCGTCTGGGCCGGCAGCCTTGCAAGGGTTAACACGCTTAAATGTCTTACTCACGTCGGCCACAGAGAAGGAGAGGCCACAGTCCTTGGTAGTGGGCCTCGTCAGTGGCACTGTGTTATCCTTAAAGCGGGCGAAGAAGGTGTTTAGCTTGTCCGGAAGCAAGACGTTGGTGTCGGCGACGTGGCTGGTTTTCCTTTTGTAGTCCGTGATTGTCTGTAGACCCTGCCACATACGTCTCGTGTCTGAGCCGTTGAATTGCGACTCCACTTTGTCTCTATACTGATGTTTTGCCAGCTTAATTGCCTTGTGAAGTGAGTAGCTACACTGTTTGTATTCTGCCATATTCCCAGTCACCTTGCCATGGTTGAATGCGATGGTTCGCGCTTTCAGATTAGCGCGAATGCTGCCATCTATCCACGGTTTCTGGTTAGGGAAGGTTTTAATAGTCACAGTGTGCACAACATCACCTATACACTTCCTGATAAACTCACTCACAGTTTCAGTGTATTCATTTAAATAATTTCCAGAAGCTACCCGGAACATATCCCAGTCCGCGTGATCAAAACAATCTTGAAGCGTGGATTCCGATTGGTCAGACCAGCGTTGAATTGTCCTTAGCACGGGTACTTCCTGTTTGAGTTTCTGCCTATAGGAAGGGAGATGCAAAATGGAGTCGTGGTCAGATTTGCCGAAAGGAGGGCGGGGGAGTGCCTTATAACCATCCCGGAAGTTCGAATAGCAATGGTTGAGGATTTTGTCAGCGCGAGTACAACAGTCGATATGTTGATAGAACTTCGGCAGCCTAGTCCTCAAATTTGCTTTGTTAAAATCCCCGGCTACAATAAATGCAGCCTCAGGATATGTGGTTTCCAGTTTGCATAAAGTCCAGTGAAGTTCTTTGAGGGCCGTCATGGTATCGGCTTGAGGGGGGATATACACGGCCGTGACTATAACCGAAGAAAATTATCTTGGGAGATAATACGGTCGGCATTTGATTGTGAGAAATTCTAGGTCGGGTGAACAGAAGGACTCAAGTTCCTGTATGTTACTACAATTACACCATGAGTCGTTAATCATGAAACACACACCTCCGCCCTTCTGCTTCCCGGAGAGATATTTATTCCCTTCTGCGCGATGAACTGAGAACCCCTCTGGCTGGACCTATTCCGACAGAATATCCCAAGAGAGCCATGTCTTGTTAACCAAAGATTGAACATTAGCAAGTAATATACTCGGAAGCTGTGGGTGGTGTACGCGCCTCCTAAGTCGAACCAGCAGGCCGCTCTGAGAGCCTCTCCGCCGCCGGTGATGTTTTGGGTCAGCCGCTGGAATCAGTTCAGTTGCTCTGGGGAGAGCAAGCAAAGGATCTGCTTCGGGAAAGTCGTATTCCTGGTCGTAATGCTGGTGAGTTACCGCAAAGTTTCCTACGAGCTAGTCACGAGGCCGCCATCTTCGTCGGCGCCAGGTAAACAACTTAATTTCTACCTCCTTCTCCCTCCTCCTTCCCCCTCGTTCCCTCCCTCTCATCTACCTCTTTCCCCTCCCTCTCTTGTCTACCTTTCCCCTCCCTCTCTTGTCTACCTCTTTCCCCTCCCTCTTGTCTACCTCTTTACCCTCCCTCTCGTCTACCTCTTTCCCCTCCCTCTCTTGTCTACCTTTCCCCTCCCTCTCTTGTCTACCTCTTTCCCCTCCCTCTTGTCTACCTCTTTACCCTCCCTCTCGTCTACCTCTTTCCCCTCCCTCTCTTGTCTACCTCTTTCCCCTCCCTCTCTTGTCTACCTCTTTCCCCTCCCTCTCTTGTCTACCTCTTTCTCCTCCCTGATCAGGTGAGGATGAGAAGTTGGTTCTGAAGCTGATAAACCGTCCCATGCTGATCCTGCGAGGGGAGAACGGCTTCATCTGCCACCATAAGAACTCCAACACGCTGGATGCCAACAGATCAGTCTATGACATCTTCACACTGCACTTCAGTGACGGGGCCTACCACATCAAAGGTGAGGTTATGATATACACATTATAGCTTACTGCATAGAATTACATGTGTTTTTTAATAAATAATTAAGAAGTTTCGTGCAACTGCTTATTTTTAATCTATTGTTTTCTACTTTAATCTGTCTTGATGTGTAAAGGCCTTTCGTATAGTGCTGCCAGTCCATGTTCTCTCTCTCTCTCTCTCTCTCTCTCTCTCTCTCTCTCTCTCTCTCTCTCTCTCTCTCTCTCTCTCTCTCTCTCTCTCTCTCTCGTAGGTGTGGGAGGGAGGTTCTGGTATGTCAACAGCAGTGGTCTGGTGTGTTCAGACGGAGAGACACCAGATGACTTCTCCTTTGAGTTCCTGGAGCACGGACGCATCTCCATCCGATGCAAAAACGGCAGATACCTGCGAGGCCAGGGGGGCACGCTGAAGGGCGATGGGGCTACCCCGGACAGCTCTGCCCTCTGGGAGTACTGATCCAGGACTATATGGGGACTACTCTCCTACCCTGCTGGATGTAGAGGTTACCCCCAAGCACAGATCTAGGATCAGATTGGGGCACATTACCACATTACCCTAACCCCCATGTCCTAAGATTAATTAATAGATTGGTAAAGAATATCTGACCCTGGACCAGTAGTTAGTGGCAACTTCTGCCCTCCCCCATAGGGCCCTTTCTGGCCCTGTATCACCCCCATCAACCTACTCCTGGCATGCCCGCCACAGGAGATGGCACAAAGAGATAAAAAAATACTATTTTCACAGGGGAGGCGGGGAGAAGACAGAAGAGGGAGCAGGGGTCCCATGTTTTCAGTTAAGAAGAGCCTGGTCAGAAAAATATGTGATGTTTGTTGGCGTCAACACTGTTCAGTGTCCAAACAACGTTATGCATTACAGGCCTATGAGAACTTTAATATGTTATTTTTAATCAACATGTTACTAGTGAAAGTCAAGGTTCAGGGTAACTATCATACTGACACACAGAGGAGTAGTCATGGCTTGGGTTTTCATTTTGCAACATTGTTTTAGCTACAACACCACTATTCATGATACGGCAGTAATTAAACTACTACTATTTCCATTGTCCACACACAGAGGAGTAGTCATGGCTTGGGTTTCCCGTTTTGAAGTTTCTTCTGGTTTCTACTGGTCCTCTGTAGCTCAGTTGGTAGAGCATGGCGCTACCAGGATAGTAGATTTGATTCCCGGGACCACACATACATAAAATGTATGTACACATGACTAAGTCGCTTTGGATAAAAGCATCTGCTAAATGGCATATATTATATTATTATTATGATGATATATTATTATGATTATGATATATTTTATATTATTATGATATATTATTATTATTATTATGATATATTATAATATTATTTTACTACATACAGTTGAAGTCGGAAGTTTACATACACTTAGGTTGGAGTCATTAAAACTAGTTTTTCAACCACTCCACAAATGTCTTGTTAACAAACTATAGTTTTGGCAAGTCAGTTAGGACATCTACTTTGTGCATGAGGCAAGTAATTTTTCCAACAATTGTTTACAGACAGATTATTTCACTTATAATTCACTGTATCACAATTCCAGTGGGTCAGAAGTTTACATACACTAAGTTGACTGTGCCTTTAAACAGCTTGGAAAATTCCAGAAAATGATGTCATGGCTTTAGAAGCTTCTGATAGGCTAATTTACATCATTTGAGTCAATTGGAGGTGTACCTGTGGATGTATTTCAAGGCCTACCTTCAAACTCAGTGCCTCTTTGCTTCACATCATGGAAAAATCAAAAGAAATCAGCCAAGACCTCAGAAAAAAAACTTTAGACCTCCACAAGTCTGGTACATCCTTGGGAGCAATTTCCAAACGCCTAAAGGTACCACGTTCATCTGTACAAACAATAGTACGCAAGTATAAACACCATGGGACCACGCAGCCGTCATACCGCTCAGGAAGGAGACGCATTCTGTTTCCTAGAGATGAACGTACTTCGGTGAGAAAAGTGCAAATCAATCCCAGAACAACAGCAAAGGACCTTGTGAAGATGCTGGAGGAAACAGGTACAAAAGTATCTATATCCACAGTAAAACGAGGCCTATATCGACATAACCTGAAAGGCCGCTCAGCAAGGAAGAAGCCACTGCTCAAAAACCGCCATTAAAAAAGCCAGAATACGATTTGCAACTGCACATGGGGACAAAGATCGTACTTTTTGGAGAAATGTCCTCTGGTCTGATGAAACAAAAATAGAACTGTTTGGCCATAATGACCATCGTTATGTTTGGAGGAAAAAGGGGAACGCTTGCAAGCCGAAGAACACCATCCCAACCGTGAAGCATGGGTTGGCAGCATCATGCTGTGGGGGTGCTTTGTTGCACGAGGGACTGGTGCACTTCACAAAATAGATGGCATCATGAGGAAGAAAAATTATGTGGATATATTGAAGCAACATCTCAAGACATCAGTCAGGAAGTTAAAGCTTGGTCACAAATGGGTCTTCCAAATGGACAATGACCCCAAGCATACTTCCAAAGTTGTGGCAAAATGGCTTAAGGACAACAAAGTCAAGGTATTGGAGTGGCCATCACAAAGCCCTGACCTCAATCCTATAGAAAATGTGTGGGCAGAACTGAAAAAGCGTGTGCGAGCAAGGAGGCCTACAAACCTGACTCAGTTACACCAGCTCTGTCACGAGGAATGGGCCAAAATTCACCCAATTTATTGTGGGAAGCTTGTGGAAGGCTACCCGAAACGTTTGACCCAAGTTAAACAATTTAAAGGCAATGCTACCAAATATTAATTGAGTGTATGTAAACTTCTGACCCACTGGGAATGTGGTAAAATAAATAAAAGCTGAAATAAATCACTCTCTACTATTATTCTGACATTTCACATTCTTAAAATAAAGTGGTGATCCTAACTGACCTAAGACAGGGAATTTGTACTAGGATTAAATGTCAGGAATTGTGAAAAACTGAGATTAAATGTATTTGGCTAAGGTGTATGTAAACTTCCCACTTCAACTGTAACTACTATCTACACACTGCTACAAATAGCTATAGAGACCTTAAACCAATTATCTATTGCACCCTCTCCCAATCCTTCCTCTCTTCCACCCCTCTCATTCTCTACTCTGTGGTTTTCCTAATCCTCCCTTTCCATTCTTCCATTCACTTTTTTCCCTTTTTTTTACCAATTCTGACTTTTGTAAGCGAGTGACAGTTTTGAGAGATGTGTAATAATGAACTCAGAAAGTCCTCAACTCATCGTAGCCGAGTCATCGTTAGCGGATAGCTTCCTTAGCATCGTAGCATTGTCAAAGGATACTCGCATTAGCAAGCATGATAGGCGGCTGCATCTCAAATGTCACACTATTCCCAATCTAGGGCAGTAGGCCTACTTCGGACCACAGCCACATAGGTTAATGGCTTGCAGTCATAAGTTGGAGCCCTCTATATGGGAAATAAGAGAAATAGGAGTGTGACGGGTGTCATTTGAGATTTGTACAGGGTTTCCCCTGCAAACCAACCTTACAGTAACACGTCAGCTGTAACAAGACTACACGGTCATCTAGAAAGAGTATAGTGCTAGCGTAGTAATCTACAACGTTTGTTGTTTCATTCCTTTGTAATATTTATTTATTGATTTACTCTTTCTGAAAAGCTTTGAAAAAACGATAATAAAAATTATCTCTGAGATGTGTAAAAGGTATGTTTTGTGTGTGGATAATGTTGTCTTGTTGTCAGTGAAGTGACTATCTTCAAATCAATTGTTTTAATTTTACAGGTACATTATAATGCACACACAACACATATCAAATATACAACAGCCCTTGGTATGTACACATTTGCAAGCATGACTTGACCATTCAACATTAACAGAAATAAATAAATGCTGTTGGGGTACAGAAACAGCAGAGGGAGACAAAAAGTCATTAATTTCTCCTTTACAGGCGAGGTGTTGGAGAGTGAGTGTGGGGTTGTGTATTGAGAACGAAGATGAGGATGAGAGGATTGTATATGAGTGGATGAAGATGTTACGGATGAGGAGCGTATGTGGGATGGTACCAGTGTCAGAGGATGGGGAGCGTATGTGGGATGGTACCAGTGTCAGAGGATGAGGAGCGTATGTGGGATGGTACCAGTGTCAGAGGATGAGGAGCGTATGTGGGATTGTACCGGTGTCAGAGGATGAGGAGCGTATGTGGGATGGTACCAGTGTCAGAGGATGAGGAGCGTATGTGGGATTGTACCGGTGTCAGAGGATGAGGAACGTATGTGGGATGGTACCAGTGTCAGAGGATGAGGAGCGTATGTGGGATGGTACCTGTGTCAGAGGATGAGGAGCGTATATAATAATAATAATATAATATGCCATTTAGCAGACGCTTTTATCCAAAGCGACTTACAGTCATGCGTATGTGGGATGGTACCAGTGTCAGAGGATGAGGAGCGTATGTGGGATGGTACCAGTGTCAGAGGATGAGGAAGGGGTTCTCTCCTTGAGTTGCCGGTAAACGATGAACAGTGTCTTGGTGGTCTGTCCTGTGGTCGTCCCCAGTCCAATGGCTTCTGGGATACGAGCCTCCTGCAGATGCTCAGATAGGGCCTGGCAGGGGGGAGGAAGAGGAGGAGGAAGAGGTAAGGCTATAGACACACTGAGGAACCCTTATGTTACCAGATGTCAACCCTTATGTTACTGTACCTTCTCCACTATGCAATCCGGTTTCCGAGCTGGTCATGGGTGCACCTCAGCCACGCTCAAGGTCCTAAACTATATTATAACCGCGATCGATAATAGACAGTACTGTGCAGCCGTCTTCATCGACCTGGCCAAGGCTTTCGACTCTGTCAACCACCGCATTCTTATTGGCAGACTAAATAGCCTTGGTTTCTCAAATGACTGCCCCGCCTGGTTCACCAACTACTTCTCAGATAGAGTTAAATGTGTCAAATCGGAGGGCCTGTTGTCTGGACCTATGGCAGTCTATGGGGGTGCCACAGGGTTCAATTCTCGGGCCGACTCTTTTCTCTGTGTATATCAATGATGTCGCTCTTGCTGCTGGTGACTCTCTCAGATCCACCTCTCCGCAGACGACACCATTTTGTACACATCTGGCCCTTCATTGGACACTGTGTTAACAAACCTCCAAACGAGCTTCAATGCCATACAACACTCCTTCCGTAGCCTCCAACTGCTCTTAAACACTAGTAAAACTAAATGCATGCTCTTCAATCGAACGCTGCTGGCACCCGTCCACCCGACTAGAATCACTACTCTCGGCGGGTCTGACCTAGAGTATGTGGACAACTACAAATACCTAGGTGTCTGGTTAGACTGTAAACTCTCCTTCCAGACTCACATTAAGCATCTCCAATCCAATCCAAAGTTAAATCTAGAATCGGCTTCCTATTTCGCAACAAAGCCTCCTTCACTCATGCTGCCAAACAAGCCCTCGTAAAACTGACTATCCTACTGATCCTTGACTTCGGCGATGTCATTTACAAAATAGCCTCCAACACTCTACTCAGCAAATTGGATGTAGTCTATCCAGCAAATTGGATGTAGTCTATCACAGTGCCACCCGTTTTGTCACAAAAGCCCCATATACTACCCACCACTGTGACCTGTACACTCTTGTTGGCTGGTCCTCACTACATATTCGTCGCCAAACCCACTGGCTCCAGGTCATCTATAAATCACTGCTAGACAAATCCCCACCTTATCTTAGCTCATTGGTCACCATAGCAACAGCCACCCGTAGTATGCACTCCAGCAGGTATATCTCACTGGTCATCCCCAAAGCCAACACCTCCGTTGGCCGCCATTCCTTCCAGTTCTCTGCTGCCAATGACTGGAACGAACTGCAAAAATCTCTGAAGCTGGAGACTCTTATCTCCCTCACTAACTTTAAGCATCAGTTGTCAGAGCACCTTACCGATCACTGCACCTGTACACAGCCCATCTGAAATTAGCCCACCCAACTACCTCATCCCCATATTGTTATTTATTTTGCTCATTTGCACCCCAGTATCTCTATTTGCACATCTTCTCTTGCACATCTATCATTCCAGTGTTAATACTAAATTAAATTATTTTGCACTATGGCCTATTTATTGCCTTACCTCCATAACTTGCTACATTTGCATACACTGTATATATATTTTCTGTTGTATTTTTGACTTTATGTTTTGTTTACCCCATATGTAACTCTGTGTTGTTGTTTTTAATCGCACTGCTTTGCTTTATCTTGGTGAGGTCGCAGTTGTAAATGAGAACTTGTTCTCAACTGGCTTACCTGGTTAAATAAAGGTGAAATAAAAAAATGTTGAGGCCCCAAAAGTTGGTTGTAAGCCTGGTCTCACCTGTGCCCGCTGTAGGGCCTGTCTCAAGCCCAATCCCTGGGTTCCGTGAAAAAAAAAAGGTTCCGATAAAATCAATAATCAGTTCACCTGCTATTCACCTCAGTGTTCATCAATAATCAGTTCACCTGCTATTCACCTCAGTGTTCATCAATAATCAGTTCACCTGCTATTCACCTCAGTGTTAATCAATAATCAGTTCCTTGTCATTTTTTACCTGCTGCTATTCAGGTCAGTGTTCATCAATAATCCGTTAATTTTATTACCTATTCACCTCAGTGTTTATCATAATCAGTTCACCTGCTATTCACCCAAGTGTAAACAGCGTTCATCAATAATCAGTTCCTTGTCACCTTTAGTAAATTGAAGTGGGCAAAGTTTTTGGTTTGAGATTCAGCCTACCGTCAGTTTCAGCTCTTGTGTTGAAGTCGTACACCTCCTCGCGCCCAGTACAAATCAACACATCTGCTCCAGACCAGCATCCGAACTCAGCCCAAGTCTCAAAAGCACATCTAGCCTCCATAGCCGAGAACTGGAAAAAAAATAACTGGCCAGAGCCAAGGAAGATTCTGGTAGCAGTACGACACTTTTCAAGTAACTTATTTTCTACATAGTTATGCCCATAATAACTATTTGTAGGTAGTTTAGGTGCTGTAGCTTGCTTGAAAATGCATCAGCCAGTTATTAACGGTGCAAAAAACGCGAACATTTCTGACCAATCAGCGTTCAAAACTACATTACCCAAGCACTAAGACCGACCTATAACCTCATGACGCGCCTAGCCACCCACCAATCATAACATCGCAGGCAAACGTCCGCCAAAATTTCAAAACCATTTTTGTTCGCTTCGTGTGTAGATATCGTGAGCTTTTTTGTTTTTTGCTAGGTATTTTAAACTCTTGGTTGAAAGCGTTATGAATCCCTTTAGTGAAGACCATACAAAAATGTACTTTTATGAAACCAGATTGAATACCTACGTGGGGTGGCCGTTCGAAGAGGGGTGCGCTTGCACTCCAGAGAACGTAAGTGTCTAGCACTGCTAACGTAGTTAACTAGCTAGCAAAACAAACTGGCTAACGTTAACTAGCTCGACCATGACTTTCAGAAATGCACGTAGTAACTAGCTAACTGCACAAAGTTGTCCATTATTTGGTGATAAACTTTTATCTCAGTTAGGTTACACTAAATTATGCTATTGTTTCACTCTGGTCTAATCTACTAGCGATAACGTTACCACCATTAACGTTACTTCCCTGCTGTGCATTCCAGATGGCCAAAGCTGGATTCATCCACACCCCAACAGAGAACAGCCCGGACATAGCCAAGTGCTTCTTCTGTCTCAAAGAACTGGAGGGTTGGGAGCCAGACGATGACCCAGAGTGAGTTGTAGGACAATGTTCATGGCTAAAGAAGCCTAGATTGGTTATTTGTCATTTTATTATTATTTACTAGCCTCCTCGCATGGCAAGGGTTTAAGCTAATTAGCTAGCTACTACCCCATGCATAGACGCTAACTGCTTTTAGCGCCTAATGATGAAGATATCTTCTTCCAGGGCTTTTCTTAAGAGCCCCGACGCTCGGTCTGAAAGTGAACACGCATCGCTTGCGGTACGTCTTTGCGAACGTAGTTAACTTTCATATCAGCGAGAGATTATTTTCCGAAAACAAAAGGTTAAATTACTATACACCTTCTAGGGTTAGCGTTCCCACAAGGCCATATCTCCATTACAGCGCTTTCGGAAGCCAGATTGGAAGAAAGAGGCGACCACCTTTACTAATAAGCCATCTAGTGTACTCCGAACACCTGTGTGTAACAAAAATGTCTCCGCTAAAATCTCAAATCCGTTTTCATTTAGGAGCCTGCTCAGATAAGGTATTGGTGATCTCCTTTATCTCCCTGTTATACATCTTGGGATGGCCAGTTTGTTGAGTTCCTTTAATGACGACCTGTGAGCTCCTCCGGGCAGGGGTAACCAGGCCCTGAAGTTGGTCTTTAGCAGCTTTCTGGCAAAGTCAAGGCACAGTTTAGTGTGTCTGTCAGATAGGGTTCACAAGCTGAGGGGACGGAGTGCCTCTGTGTACCCTGAGTACCTCTGGCCAAGGATGATCTTACAGGCTGTTTCTGTGTGCGTTTCGGCCTGGTCTGTAGGCAGAGAACTGCCAGTACAGGGTGCATATAGCCACATTTCTTCAGACACTGCAGAGCAAACAGCTTCCTGTTGGCAGATGTCCGCATGTGGTCCACTTGACTGTCCTATTGTAAGTTGTTCTGGATGGTGACCCCCAGGACTCTGACTGTCAGACTTCCAGGGTGTTCCGGTCAATGGAGAGAGTCGGCAGTTGAGAATTGGCTGTTTTGGCTGCCAGAGCCAGTTTACCTCTGAAAATAACACAAGGTCCTTGGACCCCGACCTTAAGGAGTAATGGCAGTGTGCCTACGCTCATTAAGAGTACATTCTTGGGCTAGCTAGCTACATACTCTGAAGAGGTTTGTGTGTAACTACAAGGTTGCTTGTTAAAGCCTGCTTCATCAACTGGTGATGGCTAGGTAACACTAACATACTGTCTGAGATATAGCAATACAATCATTTGAAAAGGGTCCTTTTTAGGACCTGTGCGAGACAGAATGTTGATTAAAATTAAATTTGAACTCTACTGGTTGTCTAGTAGGTTATTTGTGTAGCTGGAAATTGTAGATAAAATGTCACCTGAAGCATGCGCAAAACCATGTAAACATGCACGGCCTCGGCTGGTATGCATGCATCGCGTGCATGTATTTACATGTTCGCATGCCTCAGGTGCTAGAAATCTGAACACACTACCACCTAGCTATCACCAGATAATGAATGGGGCTACCGGTAGTGAATGTTTAGCCTCTGCCCAGTGAGTGAAGACCTGGGAGCCGAGGCTAGTTCAAGCTCTGTTCTTGCTGTTCCTCTTCAATTGCTACACTAGAAACGGGATACAATTTAGTATTGTTGTTTCTATTGATCCCATTGCTAATGTTTTCTTCTCATCATGGCATGACTCTTGTTTCAGGAAGGAGCATAAGTCCCATTCACCCAGCTGCAACTTCATCTCCCTGAAGAAGAGCGTGAACGACCTGACTGTGGAAGAGTTCCTCAAACTCCAGAAAGAGAAGCAGAAATTCCACATTGTAAGTTGAGCTAGGACTAGGTCTTTGGAAATCCCAATATTAATATTGTCAATGGGTATAATTATGTTAACTAAGTAGGTTTAGTGCTCCTCCTATTGTGTGATTTTACTGTATATGGGTAGAACAAGAATATCAACAACTACATATTCTATTAACTTTAATTTAATCAGGGGAGCCCAATTGAGACCAGGGTCTCATTTTCAATGGTGCCCTGAGGACATCAAATAAAATATTAAACTACAAGATACAATAACAAGTACATTAGAACATCAAAGGCATCATAAACAAATGATTAAAGTCAATCAAAACAATTGCACACCTTGGTGAACTAATTTATCAGGGTTTTAAACTGCCCTAGTGGCACCAGGGAATCCAAATGTAGTGAATTTTGTAAGTTATTGCAAAAATGTGGAGCGTTAAAACTAAAAGCGGATTTACCTAGTTCGGTGGAGACCCGAGGTATCTCAAGAGTTAACCAACCCTCTGAACAGGTTTGGTATCATGTTTTTTTATACTTTAACAACACAGTTAGGTAAGTCGGAAGCTTGTATAGTAGAGCTTTGTAAAAAAAAAAAAAGGGAAGTGATCTACAGGACTTTAATGAGGACCAGCCAACCTTTTGATACAGTGATGCGCATTAAAACTAACAGGAGTACATATAGTTTAGATGCAGATAAAACACTCAATCCCAGGTCTCCACTAGTGCTGAGAATCTTATGTGAAAATAATAATGCAGCAGACCATGCATCAGGTGACGTTGCGGTCAAATGTCTCTTATAAATACAGGCATATCGCTGAGTGGAAAATACAGGTAGACTGTATCTGGGAGAAACGTGTGTGTGTGGAAAATTATGATGAACACCAGATTGAAATTTTTTCTATTTTCCACTCACAGAAAAAGGCATGCAATGAGGCCATCACTAAGTTTGAGGAGGCGGCAAAAAGCAGAAGAGGTGAGATCATCAAGACTGCCATGGACGAAGAGTGATGGGGAAGAGACTGTGGACCTGTTTGAGTACTTTACAAATGTTTTTCTGCTCGAGTAATCACTGGTAGTGCAGTAGCCTAGTGTACATATTCTGTCTGTCAGCATTAGGTAGGTGTGTTATTATCAATAAATATTTTATTTCCCAATTTGACTCATGTTCTATTTGTCATATATTGTGTTCATTTGATATAAGATTATATAAACTGGGTATGTGAGGATCTACTGGTAAACCTGCTAACATATTGCGGGGTAGGGAAGCTAACCCGGGTCGCTGGCTTGAAAGGCAAACAACTATGCATCGCGGATCGCTACAATATTTTAGTGTTTGGCACCAGTTGTGTGTAATAGCCATGCGTAAAGGGGGAGAGAGAGACACTTGTGCGCCTGGTGCCCATGCAAGAAAAGGACCCGCCTGCTATGTACTCTGCCACTGCTTGGAAAAAACGATTTTATAACTCAGCCTTAGTGGTCAATCCTGCTTCACGCCTCAACCTCGTAACGTTGTTGAAGCTCTTGAGCCGTGAACAGGATACACCGTGAACGCGTCATCCTGGAGATATGGGAATAACGATTACCAGTGCGACCTCGCAGTGCAGATGATTTTTATTAGTTGTGATATTTTACTACTAACTAAATTTAATCTGAAATACTTTAGCCTTTTACTGGCATTATATCGGTGGGGAGTTTAATCGAGGCGCACGTTTTTTATTTATTTATCTGAGCAAATACCTTACATCAATCAGGCGAGATGAAGCAGTCCTTCCGTTCTCTGGTGATCATCGCGGGCATCTTCGGTATCCTCAGCTTTGCGTTCCTGGCGGCAGCTATCGGGAGCGACTATTGGTACATTATTAAGGTGAACAGAACCAACCGGACCAATACAAAGGTTTTGGATTCCCATTCCGGACTATGGATAACTTACGAAGGTGTGTATGTATTCCTATGCATGTGAATTTTGTAATATGAAATCAATGCCTTGCTTAGATGGATGACTTTATAGTATAAGGTAGGCTAGGCCTATTTGTTATCCGACATCTTTCCTGTAGCAAGACACTGTTTTATTGTCACAAACTGAATAATCATCCATCTTTCCAGGTCAAAAGGTGTATTCTTTCACATTTAACTCCTCCAACTACTCTGAACCTGAGATGCGCATGTTGAGTGAGTTCCCTGTCCATTATCACCTTAATAAATAACCATTGTAGAATAAAACACTTTAGAGCTGTTGTTATTTTGGGACATTTTGAATAGATTCTGTTATTGATGAAGCCTCTATCTGTGTGTCAAGTGTGCTCCTATAGTTGGTGCTCCTATAGCTGGAATGTTGTGTCTGTGTTTCCCTAGACATGCACAGTGCGATCGTGGTCCTACTGCCTCTTAGCCTGGTCCTTATACTGTTCGGAGGCATCTGTGGATTGATCAGTTCCCTGGCCCGGAGTACCGTTCTCCTCACTGTCACCGCCTCCTATCTCTTCCTCTGCAGTAAGTGTGGCCTCCATCTCTCGGTCTTACAGCCAGTCTGATTGTGCTGCCATGCCAGCTCCTTGTTACTCATTGTCATGTTTGGCATGACAAGAAGTTGACATTATGGCACACAAGTAGATCTGGGACAAGGGCAAGGCAACCTAACACCTACAGGCCCAAGTCCAAAATTCACTCCAATGCAACATACTTCCATCCATATAGCCTTTTAAAGCAGTGGTTCCCAACTCCAGTCCTCCAGTACCCCCAACAGCCCAACTCCAGTACCCCCAGGTCCAGTCCTCCAGTACCCCCAGGTCCAGTCCTCCAGTACCCCCAGGTCCAGTCCTCCAGTACCCCCAGGTCCAGTCCTCCACTACCCCCAGGTCCAGTCCTCCACTACCCCCAGGTCCAGTCCTCCACTACCCCCAGGTCCAGTCCTCCACTACCCCCAGGTCCAGTCCTCCACTACACCAACAGCCCAACTCCTGTCCTCCAGTACCCCAACAGCCCCAATTCCAGTCCTCCAGTACCCCAACAGCCCAACTCCAGTATCCCCAACTCTAGTCCTCCACTACCCCCAGGTCCAGTCCTCCACTACCCCCAGGTCCAGTCCTCCACTACCCCCAGGTCCAGTCCTCCACTACCCCCAGCTCCTGTCCTCCACTACCCCCAGCTCCTGTCCTCCACTACACCAACAGCCCAACTCCTGTCCTCCAGTACCCCAACAGCCCCAACTCCAGTATCCCCAACTCTAGTCCTCCAGTACCCCCAGCTCTAGTCCTCCAGTACACCCAGCTCTAGTCCTCCAGTACACCCAGCTCCAGTCCTCCACTACGCCCAGCTCCAGTCCTCCAGTAACCCAGCTCCAGTCCTCCAGTACCCCCAACTCTAGTCCCCCAATACCCCAGCTCCAGACCTCCACTATCCCCACCTCCAGTCCTCCACTATCCCCAGTTCCAGTCCTCCACTTCATCCAGTATCCCAACAGCCCAACTCCTCCAACAGCCCAACTCCAGTACCCCCAACTCCAGTCCTCCAGTACCCCCAATTCCAGTCCTCCAGTACCCCCAATTCCAGTCCTCCAGTACCCCAACAGCCCAATTCCAGTCCTCCAGTACCCCCAATTCCAGTCCTCCAGTACCCCCAACTCCAGTCCTCAGTACCCCAACAGCCCATCTCCAGTCCTCCAGTACACCAACAGCCCAATTCCAGTCCTCCAGTACCCCAACAGCCCAACTCCAGTATCCCCAACTCTAGTCCTCCACTACCCCCAGCTCCATTCCTCCACTACCCCCAGCTCCAGTCCTCCACTACCCCCAGCTCCAGTCTTCCACTACCCCCAGCTCCAGTCTTCCACTACCCCCAGCTCCAGTCCTCCACTACCCCCAGCTCCAGTCCTCCACTACCCCCAGCTCCAGTCCTCCACTACACCCAATTCCAGTCCCCAAGTACCCCCAGCTCCAGTCCCCCAGTACCCCCAGCTCCAGTCCCCTAGTGTCCCCAGCTCCAGTCCTCTGGTGTCCCCAGCTCCAGTCCTCCAGTGCCCCCAGCTCCAGTCCTCCAGTGCCCCCAACTCCAGTACTCCTGTATCCCCAACTCCAGTATCCCCAGCTCCAGTATCCCCAGCTCCAGTCCTCCAGTACCCCCAGCTCCAGTCCTCCAGTACCCCCAGTTCCAGTCCTCCAGTGCCCCCAACTCCAGTACTCCCATATCCCCAACTCCAGTATCCCCAGCTCCAGTCCTCCAGTACCCCCAGCTCCAGTCCTCCAGTACCCTCAACTCCAGTCCTCCAGTACCCTCAACTCCAGTCCTCCAGTACCCTCAACAGCCCAACTCCAGTCCTCCAGTGCTCCCAACTCCAGTCCTCCAGTACCCCCAACTCCAGTCCTCCAGTGCCCCCAACTCCAGTCCTCCAGTGCCCCCAACTCCAGTCCTCCAGTGCCCCCAACTCCAGTCCTCCACTACCCCCAGGTCCAGTCCTCCAGTATTCCAACAGCCCCAACTCCAGTCCTCCAGTATCCCAACAGCCCCAACTCCAGTCCTCCAGTACCCCAACTCCAGTCCTCCAGTACCCCAACAGCCCCAACTCCAGTCCTCCAGTACCCCAACAGCCCCAACTCCAGTCCTCCAGTACCCCAACAGCCCCAACTCCAGTCCTCCAGTACCCCAACAGCCCCAACTCCAGTCCTCCAGTACCCCAACAGCCCCAACTCCAGTCCTCCAGTACCCCAACAGCCCCAACTCCAGTCCTCCAGTACCCCAACAGCCCCAACTCCAGTCCTCCAGTACCCCAACAGCCCCAACTCCAGTCCTCCAGTACCCCAACAGCCCCAACTCCAGTCCTCCAGTACCCCAACAGCCCCAACTCCAGTCCTCCAGTACCCCAACAGCCCAACTCCAGTATCCCCAGCTCCAGTCCTCCAGTACCCTCAACAGCCCAGCTCCAGTTCTCCAGTACCCTCAACAGGAATTCAAATGAGGAGATAGACAGATGGGTCAGGGGAAAAAGAGAGAATGTCCACTTGGGAGAGATGAGGATTCCTGTGCCACCGCTGCACTGACCAGATGCTCTCGGGGTATGCGAGAACACATGATTAGACGAGGAAAGAGCAGTAGGAGTAGCAGTGTTTTCTGTGGTAATCCATGTTTCCGTCAACGCCAAGAAGTCGAAGGACTGGAGGGTAGCATAGGCTGAGATGAACTCTGCCTTGTTGGCCGCAGAACGGCAGTTCCAGAGGCTGCCGGAGACCTGGAACTCCACGTGGGTCATGCGCGCAGGGACCACCAGATTAGAGTGGCAGCAGCCACGCGGTGTGAAGCATTTGTATGGCCTGTGCAGAGAGGAGAGAACAGTGATAGACAGACACATAGTTGACAGGCTACAATAATGCAAAGGAGATCGGAATGAAATTAACTAAACATCTGGGAAAGCGAGAGAGCGGGGCCTCTCTCACTTACGTTTCACTGAAACACTCAAATATAACTCCCAACTTCCATTTTAGAAATTATAATTGTTGTAAACTACAGTGGTTCAATATTTTCTAGGAATAGACTCTAACTTTGTTTATTCAGCTAGCTAACTTGGTGCAGTATTCTTCCGTGAAAACCGCCCAGGGCACCGTATCCTATGACGCCATAGCTAACTAGCATGCTAGCTTCCAATAACACACGGTTTAGCACCAATACTTGGTTACAACAAACTACCAATAGTGTGTTAACACGCTAAACAGATCATTCGTGTCTGTGTCTAACGTTGTGTAAAGTTTTGGGGTTAGTTTTGACAGTTTGAGTGAGAACGTCGTCATCTTATTCAGCCAGTTAGTTAGCTAGCTAGAATAGTTAGCATATTAGCTAGCCATTGCGCTCTGTCAACGAACCAACCCCTCCTCCCACGGTATGAAACACACAGAGAGAACCAAGCTAATGTTAACTGGTCACCTATGTCTTGAATTCCTTTTGAACGACTCTGGTTACCAGTATGTAAAAATTAAATTAAAATAAATGTAGGTTATAACTTACCCATAGTAGCTACTGTTAGCTAGTTAAGTGTAAAGCTAGCTACTGAATCGATTCAGCCAGTTCACGTCTGTCCCAACAGAGAGAAAGCGTCTCCATATATTACAGCTAGGTCGTTCCAGCTATTGTTTAGTTAGCTATCCAGGTAGCAACAAGCTAGCTACATTTCGAGTACAGTAGCTACTAACTACCTAACGTTAACGCTTCAGATAATGAGGTTAGAAAAACAGCTGAATGGTAGGTAGCTAGCTGGCATAATTACAGGTACTCTTAAGCGTGAAATAACATTGGAAACATTGGAAACCCCCAGCTCCAGTCCTCCACTACCCCCAGCTCCAGTCCTCCAGTAACCCCAGCTCCAGTCCTCCAGTACCCCAACAGCCCAGCTCCAGTTCTCCAGTACCCTCAACAACACAAATTTTTGTTGTAGCCCTTGACAAACTCACCTGATTCAACTAATCATCAATCCCTCAATGAGTTGAATCAGGTGAGTTTGTCTTGGGCTACAACCAAAAAGTGTGCTGTTGGGCTACTTGAGGACTGGAGTTGGGAAACACTGCATTAGAGCCCAGACACTTTAAGTAATGTGCATCTCAATCTTACAAAGGAGACTAGATGAAGTGCCAAGGTAATTACATTTTAGATGATTGAGATGCACCCCTGTAGTTTCACAGCTCAAGTGAGAGGGTGGTGATGTGGTTAGAGCACAGATACAGCAGGTCTCGCACCATCTGGCTCAGCATCATAGAACAACCGGGAAAGGTCTTGTTATTGTGGCTAGAGCTAGGCTGATGATAATGGGTTTGATTTGACCACAGAGGAAAGAAGACTTTAAGATGGATGAAGATGTTCTCTCCTTCACTGCTGCCTGTCCATTTCTCTCACGTACTTACTGGAAATGTTGGTTTGTATATCTCCCAGATAGTGGATGGATTACCAGTATTAGTATATCTGTTACTGTTCTTTGGGGACAGCCAACACTGCAATATCACTCTGGCTTCACATACATGCATGCACACACACCCAACTCTTCACACACTTTCACCACCTAATTTCATTTTGATGAAAGGGAACTGCTGAGTAATGATTCTGTTCTATTCACTGAAAGAAATAAAAGTAATTTGAGTAATAGCATGAGGGTGGGGGGGGGGAGTGGAGAGAAGAGGATGTGGGAAGGTACTGGAGCGCAATAAATGATTTGACTTGATTAGATTTATTAGGATCCCCATTAGCCGACGCCAATGGAGACAGCTAGTCTTACTGGGGTCCGACATGTAACGAAAAAGACAGACAAAATACTTTACAATTTACATACATGTAAAAACATTAACATGTAGTGTGTGTGCATCTCAGTTCCACATACATGTCAGTACATACACACAACAAGTAGGTCACATGGGGGAGAGACGTTGTGCCGTGAGGTGTTGCGTTATTTGTTTTTTGAAACCAGGTCTGCTGTTCACTTGCGCTATATAAGATGGGAGTTCCTTGCACTCATAGC